GTGTCGCGATCTACCGTTTTCCTAGCTGTGTGTTCTGTCATTCCTCTAGTTTAAGTTTGTTTTGAGTTTTTTCAGTTATGTTATATTTTGAGTCTTAAATTAAAGCCTTTTTGAGTTCACGTCTGTCTCCAGAGTCTGCACCTTGGGTCCTATTCCTGCCTGCACACAGCCACACCTAACAATGTCAGTGACAGAAATGAAAAGAAGCTGAAATGAGTGAGAAGGACGATGAAGGAAACATCTGTGCTGTGTCTGCTCTGTAAGGAGAATCTGTGTTTCTTTGAATTCTTGCACTTTGACTGTCTGCTCTCCTGATAACTGATGATGGAGGAGAAGACATGGAAAAACAAAACAGCTGAATAGAAACTACTGACTCTGCAGGACCCGTTGTCCTCAGTCACCATGTTGACCTCAAAACGTCTCAATCACAAATGTGGTGTTACAGATGTCACCAATTACAAGCCAAATGTTGTGTATTACAAATGTGTTATTATCATGTAATTGTAAGTTTGTATGCTGTGTTATCATCACATCCTAAAATAAGAGCTCTTTAACACAGCAGAGATCAGGTGCTGTTGTTCTTTTGAACACTTCACCTTTTAAAACACTGAAAATGATAGGAAATGAGAGGCAGAGTGAAGAGAAGGGGCTCAACACACATCCTAGGGGAGCCTGTGTTCAGTGTTCTTGTGCTGGAGGTGTTGCTGCTGACCTGTCTGCTGTCTTCCTCTCAGGAAATCCAGCAGCCAGTTACACAGCGAGGTGCTGATGCCCAGCAGATCCAGTTTGTGAATGAGTTGCTGGGGAAAGATGGTGTTGAACACTGAAGTCCGTGAACATCATTCTAACGTATGAGTGTCCAGATGTGTGAGGGCTGAATAAGAGGACAGTTGAAATGGCATCATTGGTCGAGAGGTTTGACCGGTATGTGACTGACATGGATCTAGGTTGGAGGGAAGTTTTGATTTGATGCATGACTAACTGTTCAAAGCTCTTCATAATGATGGAGGTGAGTGGGACCAGACAGTTGTCCTTCATGCAGGAGGGACACGACTACTTCAGTACAGGAATAATGGTGGAGAGTTTGAGGCTTGTGAGAACAACAGCCTGACTCAGTGAAGGATTAAAGATGTCTGTGAAGTATGATTGGACTACAACAACCAACATTCATCAGTCCTATAAATGAGATTGATGTGGGGGAATGAGGACCCAAAACGCATGGTTCTGCGATGCAAACAGTGCACTTTATTTACAGTGAAGGTAACAGATGCACAATAAATCCCCTTTGCTCCCTAGACTCCCATGTGTGTGTTCCCCTCTGACGTCCGTGCTCGTGCTCCCGGCAGTTGTGTTTCTGCACACCCTGTGCGTGCTGCCCTTCTGGTCCCTCGTTCCACCTGCAGGACAATACAGAAGCAGCCGTTAAACACTGAACCCGCGCGCACACACGATCCGCACTTCCTA